GAGTGTAGAGCCGGATCCTAATTACAGACTCCTGGTCACTTTCGGAGGATGGCGTGTTTTTAATTAAAAGATGCTAATCGGCTAGTTAATAGAGAAGCTAATGAGAGCACGAAAAATCCCCGACTTCTCTCTAATTAGGGGACGGAATCGCGGCGCACCGGAATGAGAAGCAGAGACGGGGGTTTGGAAAAAAGGGAGTACCCCTCAGCCCCTCAATTCCTCTCCTCGCCCCCCCCCCCAGGAAAGGGTCTCTGAGCTTCTCTGGGCAGCTCTATCCTGGCTCAGCTGCCGAGAAGTCCCCCCCCCCTCTTGGAAAATCGAAAGGGGGAAGGGAAACCTCCCAACTGCAGTGCAGAAAATGGCATGTGTTACCAAACAATCCTCCCCCGCTACTTTTCCCCAAATAGAGATGTGGCTTGGACTAGGAAAGAGTTCCATAGGTGTGGGGCAGTGCAGTGTGAGGGGGGGGAGGAGGAGGAGGAGGAGGAGGAGGAGGACGACGACGACCGTGGAGTCCGAGGTGCTCTCTGAGCTTGGTTGTTTTCTTGCAGACATTTCTTTACCCAACTAGCTAACATCATCAGTGCTAGAAGACAGTGGGGTGTGCAGGGAGGAGAAGGACAAGGACAGATCTGAACATCTTGGGCAAGAGTGGGCCTTGTCTACCACAGCCAAGAGATTGGTTGCCAGATATTCCCTAAACACATTCCCCCTGCTGCCTGGAGACAGGGAGGGAGGGAGGGAAGGAAGGAAGGAAGGAAGGAAGGAAGGAAGGAAGGAAGGAAGGAAGGAAGGAAGGAAGGAAGGAAGAAGGAAGGAAGGAGGCAGGGAAGGAAGGAGGCAGGGAAGGAAGGAAGGAAAGAAGGAAGGAAGGAAGGAAGGAAGGAAGGAAGGAAGGAAGAAGGCAGGGAAGGAAGGAAGAAAGGTAGGAAGGAAGGGAAGGAAGGAAAGAAGGAAGGAAGGAAGGGAAAGAAGGAAGGAAGGAAGGAAGGAGAGACGGAAGGAAAGAAGGAAGTCAGTCAGTCAGTCTCTGATTTCCCAGCTTAGTAACTCCTGTACAGCATGCACCACATTCCTAGAGTTCCAGAAGACTTGTCTTTTATGTCCAGCCCCAATGGAAGATCTATACGTCTTTAGGGAAACATCAACCATTCCAGCAAGGTCTTTTGCCTGCTAGCGGGATTCTTGCCAGCTTCTCCGTCCATCCCTCAAGCCGTTCCTGATCTCAGAAGCGTGGCGACATCCCAAAGCCTCCCATCTGCTGCTTTCAAAAATGGCTTCCTCGCTGGCACTCACTGAAGAGACCCTTATCTCGCGCTGCCTTCCCGGAGCCAGGGAAACGCGAACCCTCGGGTTTCCTTTTGCAACAAATATTTCACTCCGTCGAGAAGCAGCAGTTGCTCGCCCGCCTTTCTTGGGACTTGGGACTTGATAGAACCGACAACGTCCAGGAGTGCCGATGACACGTTGTTTGGGAGGAACCTGTTTCCTCCATTTTTGAGGCGTTCCCTCTTCTCTGCGGTTTGCTTCAGAGCAGTTTGGAGATCAGGAGTCCTGCGTTATCTCCAGCCAGGAATCTTTCGGCCATATTTTGGCGGACCTCAGGGTGGGTGTAGCTGGCTCCGTTTCTGCCTCTAGACCAGCCGAACGGTGAACTGTGAAGCTGCTTGTCCATGCCTGGGGGAAGACCCGGCCCAGACAGATCAAGAGAACATTAACAAGCTCTTCCACATAACACTCAGGCCTTAACAAGGGTTGATAAGAAAACCAGAAAAAGTCTGAATAGTGGATGTTGCAGGAACTGGAGAAAACCACAAAGTGTTGTTGTTGTTGTTAATTGCGAAGTCGTGTCCGACCCATCGCGACCCCATGGACAACGTTCTTCCAGGTCTTCCTGTCCTCTACCATCTTCTGGAGTCCATTTAAGTTCACACCTACTGCTTCAGGGACTCCATCCAGCCACCTCCTTCTCTGTCGTCCCCTTCTTCTCTTGCCCTCCATCTTTCCCAGCATTAGGCCCTTCTCCAGGGAGTCCTTCCTTCTCATTAGGTGGCCAAAGTATTTGAATTTCAGCTTCAGGATCTGGCCTTCTAAAGAGCAGTTGGGGTTGATCTCTTTTAGGACTGACCGGTTTGAACGCCTTGCAGTCCAAGGGACTCGCAGGAGTCTTCTCCAGCACACAAAGTATTAAGACCTGTAAATAGAAGCAACACAACTGGGGCAAAAGAAAGCAAAGGTAGTACCAATAGTAATAGGTGTCTTAGGTACAATTCCAAACATCTGGAGCACCACTGGGCACTGACAAAATTACCAAGTTAATTGTAAAAAGCAGCCTTACTTGGAACAGCTTCATCCTTCAACAGGTGACCTTGGGAAGAACTTGATAGGTGGACAAAAATGCCAAATCTAGTCTAAATATCTGGCAAACTGTGAGGTTAATCACCTAATAATAAATACTGTGGGATTTCCAAGTACAAACTGGTAAAGCCTTGGTGCATAACATACCAGATATAACTGTGCTTGAAAAAAAGGAGATGTTGCTGATTGGTGTGGCAGTCAAAACCAGGGGATGGTAGACTAGAAGAAAAGGAATTGTGTCAAGATCTAAAAATTAGACTTGAGAGATTATGGCATAAACTGGCCATGGTGGAGCCAGTGGTTATCAGCACATTGGATTTATTGTATTCTGAAGTCTCACCTGGAAAGCCTTTGGAAGGTGCCCTGTGTGCACCTGGCTCCAACCTTCCACGTCTTCTCTAAATTCCCAGCATTGTTTTCTCCTTTGGGGATGCACAACAGGTAAGCAGGTACGGTTGGCTGAAATTGTGGGAGATCAGATCAGAGTGAAATGTCCCCAGCAGACGACGTAGAGCATGGTGTTCCTTCTGAAAACATTTTTTCTCCTCTTGAAACAACTTCGCCTTCAAACAGCAGAGGACAAAACCTGGAAGACAAGGGCGATTCTCTGTCCTCCAGGTTGTCCCAAAGATGCTTTTTCAGGAGGCCACTGGACTTCCTTGTTTTTCTTTGAAGACGTTTCGCTTCTCATCCAGGAAGCTTCTTCAGTTCTGACTGGGTGGTGGGGGAATGGAAGGATTTATGCTCCTTGCAGACTACAGAAACCATTTGCACTTCGGTTGGAGATGCAGACCACATGGACCTCCCCAACAGCCTTCAACGGTGAAGGGACCCAGGGCAGGAAACATCCTGCAGCCATGAAGGCTCCACACACCCATTTGCACCACTCAGGTGACCTTGAGGACACAGGTAAACCTTCAAGTGGCCTCAACAACTCTCTAAAAGGAGGCAAATGACCAGCTGTCTGCAAGGAGTATAAATCCTTCCATTCCGCACCATTCAGTCAGAGCTGAAGAAGCTTCTTTTATGAGAAGCAAAACGTCTTCAAAGAAAACTGGTCATTTGCCTTCTTTTAGAGAGCCGTTGAGGCCACTTGGAGGTTTATCTGTGTCCTCAGGGTCACCTGAGTGGTGCAAATGGATGGGGAGCCTTCTTGGAATTGCTGAAAGGACAGTGTTCCACTCCCATTTTTTCACCTGTGAGGACACAGGTAAACCTCCAAGTGGCCTCAACGCCTCTCTAAAAGGATGCAAATGACCAGCTGTCTGGAAGGAGTATAAATCCTTCCACTCCCCACCATCCAGTCAGAGCGGAAGAAGCTGCTTGGATGAGAAGCGAAACGTCTTCGAAGAAAAACAAGAAAGTCCAGTGTCCTCGTGAAAAAGCATCTTTGGGATAACTATGGCCTGGATGACTGAGACTTGGGGACAAGATCTCCCAAAAGTGGGAAGAAACTTTTCAAGGTTGCTCGGACTGAGCTTTGAACCCTCCAGACCGCCCATCCCATCTCAAGCTCCTAGTTTGCGCAATTCTCCAAGATCACGGATGTGGGCAACGACGGTCCACGGTGTGTGATTCTAACTCTCTTTTAAAACGTGACAGTTGGGGACAACATTTGGAAGAGGGCGGGGGGGGGAAGCTTCAAAAGATTGTCCCGTCTCTTGAAGCCCAACCTTTGTGTGTTCAATTTTAAAAGATATCAAATTTGGCTCTGCTCGTCACCCACCATCACCTTCTCAAGACGCCTGGTTCACCCTCAGCCTTTGGACCCCCTCGGTCGTTATTTTGGTAACTAGACGGCTCAATTCCTTTGCCCCTTTTCAGATGCCAAAGCGGGAGAAATCCGAGGGGGGGGGTCTCTCTCTTTTTTGGGGTGGGTGGGTTACAGAATGGTGGGGGGGTGGGACAGGGGAAGGAAAAAATGCTTTTTGGTGGAGTTGGCAGGCAGGGAACCAACCGGGACATGGAATCTTAAATTAAACCAAAAAGCGGTGGGGGAGACCAAAACGACAGTCCTACGGGTTTGGGGAAGGAAACTTTTGGGAGAGAGTTTGACAGCGTAATGTTGCTTTTTCCGCCATTTTGTGATGTAGAACATAAAGTCGGCTAATAAAGTGAATTTAATTTTTTGCTTAAAAAACAACAACAAAAGGAAAGAAACAAACAACAACAAAAAAAAAAGGCCCTGGGGAGAATTGGTCCCTTTCCCTGGGGCTACATAAAGCCTTCTAACTTCCATCTACTCATCCTAACCCTTAAACTAAACCGTATAACTAGTGCTTTATTCATTGTGGCTAAAATCGCTAAACTCCCCCCCCCCCAAACAGACTGCCTTTCCCTTCCTCCCCCCTCCCAAAAAAAAAAAAGAATTAATGGAAAACTTAACTGCTAATTTTTGATCCAACTGCTTAAACTGCTGTTTGGAGTGTAGTCTGACCTCTCTAAATTTGCTAACCTCTGACCTTTGACCTTCCAGATGGCGTATATGTCTCTTTTTTTATCTCTCTCTCTCTCTTCTTCTTAATTATTATTATTATTATTACTATTATTATTATTATTATTTCTTTTAACTTTTTTTGGTGTTCTTTTTTTTTCTCTCACTTTTTTAACCGTCTGCAAATCTCTCTCTAAACTTTTTGAAGGGAACACTGATAATGAACGGCTGGCGATTGCTAGACAAAGAATACCGTATCGACTCGGTCGAGTAGTAGATGAATGGCTACTCGACAAAGGTAACTAACGATAATTAATAATTCCGGTTAACTCACAAGCAAGTAAAAAAAAAAGAGGTTTTAAAGGTGCAGCTCTTGTCTCTTAGCTTCCTCGCCCCTTTCCGCCTTCTTCCCTTTTTGCTTGCAGAGAGATGGCTCAGCCAGTTAAGCCAGGGGTCTTCAAACTTGGCCCTTTGATGATTTGTGGACTTCAACTCCCAGAATTCCTCAGCCAGCCTCCATTTTGTTTGTTAGATTTAAGACAGAGGTCTTCAAACGTGGCCCTTGGATGACTTGTGGACTTCAACTCCCAGAATTCCTCAGCCAGCCTCCATTTTGTTTGTTAGATTTAAGACAGGGGTCTTCAAACGTGGCCCTTGGATGACTTGTGGACTTCAACTCCCAGAATTCCTCAGCCAGCCTCCATTTTGTTTGTTAGATTTAAGACAGGGGTCTTCAAACGTGGCCCTTTGATGACTTGTGGACTTCAACTCCCAGAATTCCTCAGCCAGTGCCTGGCTGAGGAATTCTGGGAGTTGAAGTCCACAAGTCATCAAAGGGCCACGTTTGAAGACCCCTGAGTTAAGCAGAGGCAAAGTTGGGGAGCTGGAGAAGAGTTATTGGCCAGGATTGGTTTGGTTTCTAAAGGTCGAATTGTAGCATCTGGACCAAACCAAACCAAGTTTGGTCCAGTTGCCACGATTCAGTCTTTAAACAGACACTTTTGGGTTGGATGATTGAGTCTTCATTGACACATCGGTTTGATTGTCTCCCTAAATAGGATTGCATTTTCTGTGAAAAGAGGAGAATCTGACGGGCAGGGAGCAGATTTGGGGTGCAGGCCTCTTTCGCAGCACCGACGCCACATGCGTGTGAGCGCTGGTGTCCTCATGAGTGAGACACAAAGAGAGGGGAGGAAGGGAGCAGCTGCTTATAGCATTTCATCTTGAAGACATTTGGCATAGAGCTTCTCTTGCAAAGAAGCAACGCACACACCCACACCCACACACACAAATATACACCCTTAGGAATGAAGAAGTCTAATGGTGAGTCCCAAGAATAGGCCATTTTGGATCAGAAGGCCGAGAGAAGCATCCCTGGAGCATCATTTGCTAGAATTTGTTTAAGATGGGTGGATTTCAACCTCCCCCCCCCCAGAATGCTCCGACCAACATACTAGCCGAGGAATTCTGGGAGTTGAAGTCCATCCGTCTTAAAACTTGCTGAGGTTGAGAATCACAGAGCATCCAGCTCTTCTAGAAAGCATGGACTTCACTTCCCAGAATTCTCTCTGGTGGTCCCGCCAGGTGGAGGCATTAAAGAGTTTAAATTCACACTTCTGGAGATCAGCCAAGTTAGGGGGGCTCTGGGGCATCACCTAAGGGTCAAATTGGGGGGGGAGAGCTGTTTTGGAGGTAAGGTCTAGTCCGGGGTAGGCAACCTTGGCTCTTTTATGACTCGTGGACTTCAACTCCCAGAATTCCTGAGCCAGCCACGCTGAGGGGAAAGGGAGACGTTTCCAAGCTGAGCCATGCTGGCTCAGGAATTCTGGGAGTTGAAATCCACAAGTCATGAAGGGGCCAAAGTTCCTCCATGTTGGCTCAGGAATTCTGGGAGTTGAAGTCCACAAGTCATAAAGCAGCCTAGGCCTAGGCCAGAGGTAGGCAACATTGGCTCTTTTATGACTCCTGGACTTCAACTCCCAGAATTCCTGAGCCAGCATGGGGGAAACTATGGCCCCTTCATGACTTGTGGACTTCAACTCCCAGAATTCCTGAGCCAACACGACGGCTCAGCTTGGAAACCTCTCTCTTTCCCCTCAGCATGGCTGGCTCAGGAATTCTGGGAGTTGAAGTCCACCCGTCATAAAAGAGCCAAGATTGCCTGCTCCTGGTCTAGTTGGTAAAGTTACAGGCCTGTAACAGGACAAGAGACTCTGTTGGAAACCTTGTTCTAAAGCAGTATTTCTTTAACCTCAGCAACTTTTGGACTGGTGGACCAACTCCCAGAATTCCCCAGCCAGGCTTTTTGTCCCATTTGCTGCTGACAAACCCACCTCCCATTTTATACCCCTGGTTCGTTTAGTTTTTGTTTTATTTATGGGAGTTGAAGTTCAGCCGTCTTAAAGCCTGCTGGCTGGGAAATTCTGGGAGTTGACGTCCACCCGTCTGAAAGTTACCGAAGTTGAGAAATGCTTGTTTGCAAGGCTTCACAAGACCCCCAAATGTTCCTTCTTCTCAGGCCTTCCTCTCCCAGCCTTGCTGAGATCACAAGCTGGGTTGCCTTTAGCTCTGATGGACCGTTTTCCCCTCTTGTGACTTGGGCGACTTGCAGCGAGAGATGTTTACCCCTGGACTGACCGCCTCTCCTTCAGCATCAATCACCTGCCCAGACATCAGGTGGTCAGCTGAGCAGGAAAAGAGGAAAAAGGGACACAGGGACTTGTAAGCAGGTGGGGGAAGGTGTGGGATGAAGCAGGAATTCCTCTTAGAGGGGATTCCCTGAATTTTTCCCCACCGAGAGGTCAGCATATTGGTCTGCTTCCCTAAGTCACGTGGCCACCATCATCTTCCTCTTTATCTCTTCTCACCAGTTTTGAAGCTTAACAAAATCTCTCTGTTCATTAAATTTCTTGAACGACGCATCTAACCCATTTGGGGCGAGAGCTGCACCTTTAACACTTTAAACTCAGCGGGGAAGGAATGAGCAAAGCAGAAAAAAAAAACAAAAAAAACCCAAAGAACAGAAAGATCATTTCTAAATTATAACTTAACCATCTAATCACACTTTTAACGTGCTTTTTAACTCAAACCAAAGTACTAAACCGCTTTTTTAACCGCTAAATTCCAAATGGCTTAACAATCATCGGCAAGTGATTATTCTAAAGGGGGGGGCGGCGGGGGAAAAAGGGACCTTTTAAATGTATATTTTTTTAATGTTGATGCCTTGATGGTTTAAACAGGCTGTAGTTACCAAACCAACAAAAATATAATTAAAGGGACTTCTAAAGCATCCGAGTAACCAAAAAAAAAAAAAAAAAACCAACCAAACAAAAAATAAATGAGAGAAGGAAAAAAAAAAAAGGAAGAAAAAGCAGCAGAAATTCAGAGGGTTGTGAAAAGGGGGGGCTGGGGGGGGGTCCTAAAGATGGAGAAGGAATGTGGAGAATAAAAGGAAACGCAGAGGATAAATGTATGTGAGTAACTCTTTATTGTTATTAAAACAGCACTTTCTTCCGTGTACTTTTTTTTCTTTCTGTCACGAGGGGGGTATGCAGGATGGGGCCACGTTTTTGGGGTGCAGAGAGCCAGGGTCAGCCTTTGGGGTGCGTCCATTTCCCAAACCATTCCCACATCCCTTTCCAAACACATCCCTTTTCTACCCTGGGAAAACTGAGCCAATTTGGACAGCAATGATTTCTGCTTGTTTTTCATAGTTCTAGGAACGTTGCAAGGCCTCAAGCTTCTGTCCCACCTGTGTTGTGCACACACACACACTCCAAAAATGGGGGAAATGGTTATATCTTATTTATTTTTTTAAAAAAATGGGCCATTGTGTCCTGCTAAAATCTTGGGGAGAGATTTTCCCTCTGGCTTTAGAGGGAAGTGCTTTAATGGAATTGAGGCTTCTTGCTCGCATGTTTAAAATTTCCCAGCTCAAATGTGCGAGAATTCATACCACTTGATCACAGTTAAAAAAATAAAATAAAATTGCAGGACAGGAAAAACATCTGGGCATTTACATATTATCCCCAACTGGAAGGACGATGTAAAAAAGATGTTGAGACTCTAGAACAGTGGTTCTCAACCTGTGGGTCGGGACCCCATTTGGGGTCGAACGACCATTTCACGGGGGTCACCAAACAAGGCTGTCCGCCATTTTTCCCCCTTTTCTTTGGCCATGCCCCTGGCACTCGGTGATGTATAACTGGTTGGGGGTCACCACAACATGGGGAACTGTATTATGGGGTCGCGGCATTAGAAAGGTTGAGAACCATTGCTCTAGAAAGAGCACAGAGAAGAGCAACAAAGATGATTAGGGGACTGGAGGCTAAAACATATAAGGGACGGCTGCTGGAATTGGGGATGTCTAGTTTAACGAAGAGAAGGACGAGGGGGGACAGGATAGCAGTCTTCCAGTATCTCAGGGGCTACCCCAAAGAAGAGGGAGTCAAGCTATTCTCCAAAGCACCTGAAGGCAGGACAAGAAGCAACGGATGGAAACTCATCAAGGAGAGAAGCAACCTGGAATTAAGGAGAAATTTTCTGACAGTTAGAACAACGAACCAGTGGAACAACCTGCCTCCAGAAGTGGTGAATGATCCAACACTGGAAGTTTTTAAGAAGAGACTTTGTCCGAAATGGTATAGGGTTTCCTGACTGAGCAGGGGGTTGGACTAGATGACCTCTAAGGTCCCTTCCAACTTTGTTGTTGTTGTTGTTGTTGTTGTTGTTATTATTATTATTATTAACACAGCAAATGCCAAAGTTTGGTAGGATTTGCAAACAGGAGCACCGAGTTTCTGCCGATCGTTGGACACGGGTTTCCCATTTATTTCTGCAAACTGCCTCTGAAATTTTAAAAGTCATGGAGTAACAGAAGGGACCTTAGAGGTCTTCTAGTCCAATCCCATGCTCAAGAAGGAGACCCCTATACCTTTTTCACGAGGCAACTGGACTTTCTTGTTTTCCTTTGAAGACCTTTCACTTCTCAAGCAAGAAGCTTCTTCAGCTTAGAGCTGGAGAACCTTCTTGGAGGGGAAGCGAAACATCTTCAAAGAAAAACAAGAAAGTCCAGTTGCCTTGTGAAAAAGCATCATTGGGACAACCAAAACCTGGAGGACTAAGAATCTCCATAGAGACCCTATACCAGGGGTAGGCAACCTCGGCTCTTTTATGACTCATGGACTTCAACTCCCAGAATTCCATCAATCAATTCCAACTTTGCAAGATCTTTTTTTTCCCCGCGAGAAGTTGAAATTGACGGATTGATTGAACCTTTTTTTTTTTTGCACACAGCGGCGGAGGGCCTAACGCAAAAAGGTTTTCTAAAACCCAGCTGAAGGCCTAGGACTGGGGCGACGGCGCACGTGCCCACAGAGAGGGCTCTGAGTGCCGCCTCTGGCACCCGTGCCATAGGTTCGCCACCACGGATCTAGTCTTTGCTTTATTACCTGAAGAAATTTTTGAGTCCTCCTAACTTTTTGCCCAGTAGGAAATATGGCAAGACCTTCCCTCTTACCTGCCTTTGCAGGGATTTTTTTTCCTACTAACAAAGGGAAGGGAGGGAGGGGGGATAGAGGGAAGGGGGAAGAAGTGAGGGAAGAGAGGAAGGAAGACAGGAAGATGGGGAGGGAGGGGGAAGAAAAGGAGGGGGAGGGAGGTGAGGGAGGAAGAAGGAAAGAAGAGAAGGAAGGAAGGAAGGAAGGAAGGAAGGAAGGAAGGAAGGACAGACTGTGGGGTCCAAAGGACAGACTGTGGGGTCCCAGGTGCTCTCTGAGCTGAGCAATTTTCTTGCAGACGTTTCATGACTCAACTAGGGAACGTCATCAGTGCTGGGAGGAGGAGGAGGAGAAGGAAGGAAGGAAGGAAGGTAGGAAGGAAGGTAGGAAGGAAGGAAGGAAGGAAGGAAGGAAGGAAGGAAGGAAGGAAGGAAGGACAGACAGTGGGGTCCCAGGTGCTCTCTGAGCTGGGCAATTTTCTTGCAGACATTTCATGACCCAACTAAGGAACATCATCAGTGCTGGGAGGAGGAGGAAGAAAGAAGGAAGGAAGGGCATAAAAACCCACAACTGGACTATATGGGTTAGAACAGCTGAGATTTAACATTTGAGGAACGTATCTTTAACTTATGAAATTTATTACAGCTTGGAGTAGTACTCAAAGGTGCTCGGTTGAAAACTGGGAGGCCTGAATTCCAGTCTTGCCTTTGGTCAGTCCCTCTCAGCCCCAGGAAGAAGGGAGACAGGGCAATCCACTCCAAAATGCATGTCAAGAGCCCTGCAGGAGGGCTCATGTAGTCACCAAGAGAGGATAGGCAAACTCAGAATTGTTTATCATCATTCAGGGGTTGGAAATAAGCTCACTCCTTTAAGTGCACCAAGCCAAACCAGCCAGGATGGCAATTGCACCCCTGGAGGGCTTCAAGAGATCCCGGAGATTTATTATTATTATTTACAACTCCCTGGATGGACACAGGCTAAGAACGCATCCTGTTCCCAGAACCAGGAATCCCAGTAAATGGTTTTCTTTGAACCTCGGGACGCCAGGATGGAGCTGCTTTTGAATGGATCTGACGTGTCAGAGAATGGGAGAAACAAACAAACATTAGTGTCAGTCAGAAAAGGGGGTGAAAAGGAAGCAGTAAACGCAGCAGGATTATTAAAAAGCTGCAGGCGTACAGGGTGTTCCGGGAGAAGCGTTAAAATACAGATTTGAGTTTGCTGACGGTTCTGCCATCTAACGCGTCCGAAAGCAACATCTGGGGGGTTTGAAGCCCGGAAGAATTCTTGTTGCTCGGTGTAAAGGGGAACAGCACAAGAATATTTACCCAAAGTCTAGGCTTGGTGAAGCACAGGTACTCCTCGGCGTACGACCACAACTGAGCCCCAGATTTATGTTGCTAAGCGAGACGTCTGTGAAGTGAGCTTTTGGCCCCATTTTATCCCTTTTCTTGCTACAGTTGTTCAATGAATCGCCACAGTTCGATAAGTTAGTGACACAGTTGTCAGAAGGTCACAAGAGGGGAATCATGTGCACACACACACACACACCATCATGTGACCACATTTTGGGTGCTTGACAACTGGCTCAGGTTTACGGACATTTAATAATAATAATAATAATAATAATGATGATGATGATGAATCCCAAAATAACTGGAACACCACTTGAACACCATTGGCATTGACAAATTTGCTATTAGTCAACTGCAAAAGCAGGCTTACTAGGAACTGCTTCCATCCTGCGACGAGATCTGTAATACCATCAAACATCCACATCTGCCTATCCCAGGTCCTGGGTAAGAACTCGATAGGTAGACAAAATGCCAAATCCAGTCTGAACATCTGGCTGACTGTGCGATGATGAATAATAATAGTAAAGTTGGAAGGGACCTTGGAGGTCATCCAGTCCAACCCCCTGCTCAGGCAGGAAACCCTACACCATTTCGGACAAATGGCTGTCCAGTCTCTTCTTAAAAACTTCCAGTGTTGGAGCATTCACCGCTTCTGGAGGCAGGTTGTTCCACTGGTTAATTGTTCTCACTGTCAGGAAGTTTCTCCGTAGTTCTAGGTTGTTTCTCTCCTTGATGAGTTTCCATCCGTTGCTTCTTGTCCTGCCTTCAGGCGCCTTGGAGAACAGCTTGACTCCCTCTTCTTTGGGGCAGCCCCACAATCCCACGACTACAATTTTGGGGCAAAGGCCAGTTGGATAACATGCAAAAACGGTTGTAAGATCGGGTGTGGTCATGTGATGACCTGCTTAAGAACCGCCCAAACGTACGACCAACATTCCATAGTCGCTTCTAGTCGTAAGTCAAGAACTAGCCGTTCTAAGAAGCGGAAGGGAAGAAAAGAAAAAAATCTGTGATGCATAAACTTGAGCAAAGAATCTTTTTTTTTTTGTAACTTGTCCTCCAAAAATCCCCAGTCCAAATTAACTTCTTTGAGGCGAGGAAGGGGAAATTTTTTGCTTGGGAAAGGGGCGGAGCTTAATTTGAACCTGCACTAATGCAGGTAGTCTTTGACTTAGGACCACAGTCGAGCCCAATCATTCCTGTTGTTAAGCGAAACATTTGTTAAGTGCATTTTGACCCCTTTTATGAACTTTCTTGCTAAGTCCTCTTCCAGGGGAGACTCAGCAAAGTGACGGGGGGGGGGGAAGAGGGGAAGCAGGAACCTTTTTTCAGAAAGGGGATGAGGGGAGAGAGAAATAGAAGGGGAGGAAGAAAGGATGGAGAAACAAGAGAGGCTGGACACGGCAGCAGACCCACTTCACCCCATTAATTGGAAAGGGGAGGTGAGCAAAAAGCGATGGCGCTGGGTTCTGTGGGCCGCAGGCTTGGTCAAGGACATTGCCAGACCTCTGGAGAGGGCCCTCCTCACTCCCACAGCAGATGGGCAGCTCCAGGTCTCTGGGGTCACCTGGGGTGGAGGTAGGAGGGAGGGCATCCCATCTGCTTGGCCCAGAGGCTTGGATGGATGGAAGGAAGGAAGGGAGGAAGGAAGGAAGGAAGGAAGGAAGGAAAGGAAGGAAGGAAGGGTAGGAGAGAGTGAGGAGGGAAGAAAGGAAGGCAGGAAGGGAGGGAGGAAGGAAGGAAGGAAGGGAAGGAAGGAAGGAAGGAAGGAAGGAGAAGAAGGGTAGGAGAGTGAGGAGGGAAGAAAGGAAGGAAGGGAAGGAAGGAAGGAAGGAAGGAAGGAAGGAAGGAAGGAAGGAAGAGAAGAAGGGTAGGAGAGAGGGTGAGGAGGGAAGAAAGAAAGGCAGGGAGGGAGGAAGGAGAAGAAGAGTAGGAGAGTGAGGAGGGAAGAAAAGAAAAAAGGGAGGGAGGGAGGAAGGAAAGGAAAGGAAAGGTAGGAGAAGAGTGAGGAGGGATGGCAGGAAGGAAGGAAGGAAGGAAGACCATTCAGGAGATGAATAAGGACACTGGAGATGCAAATGCTACCTGGAGTTAGTAGCACTTGGCAGAAAGGAAGAGCAGGTGGAGGTGGTGGCTGGATTCCCACCCGGTCCCCATCGGAGGGTTCTGCTAGCTGCATTGGAACGACATGCTAAGCCTGGTTAGCGGGACCCTGGCCGGGGCGTTGGGGGCACAGCGTAAATGCTCAGCGTAGGGTTCAGGCTGTCGTATGTGCTCGGGGAAGTGCTCAGGGGAGGGTCCGGGGCCAGGTGTGGAACAAGGTCAGAAGGTCAAAATGTGAGGAAGCCTGGCGCAGACGGGGAGAGCGCTGGGGGGGCCGCCTAGCCTGACCCCCCCCTGCCAGCTCTTGCATTGGGATGCTGTGGCCGAGCGCCCTTTTCACCTCCTCTCCCCCCTCTCTCTCTCTGCTTCTCTCTGGCTCCTCCCGGCAGGTCGCCAGCTGACCATCTTCAACAGCCAGGCCGCCATCAAAATCGGGGGCCGCGACCAGGGCCGCCCCTTCCAGGGCCAGGTCTCGGGGCTGTACTACAACGGGCTCAAGGTCCTCTCCTTGGCCGCCGAGAGCGACCCCAACGTGAAGGTGGAGGGCAACCTGCGGCTGGTGGGCGAGGTGCCGTCCGTCATGACCACCGAGACCACGGCCACCACCTTGCTGGCGGACATGTCCACCACCATCATGGAGACCACCACCACCATGGCCACCACCACCACGCGGCGTGGCCGTTCGCCCACCATGCGGGACAGCATCACTCAGGTTAGTGGGACAAGGGGAGGGGCGGCAGGGGAGGGAGGGAGGGAGGGAGGAGAGAAAGGGGAAGGAAGGAAGGAAGGAAGGAAGGAAGGAAGGAAGGAAGGAAGGAAGGAAGGAAGGAAGGAAGGAAGGAAGGAAGGAAGGAAGGAAATAGAAAGGAAAGAAGGATATAGGAGGGAGGGATGAGAGAAAGGGGAAGGAAGGAAGGAAGGAAGGAAGGAAGGAAGGAAGGAAGGAAGGAAGGAAGCAAATAGAAAGGAAAGAAGGATATAGGAGGGAGGGAGGGAGGAGAGAAAGGGAAAGAAAGGAAGGAAGGAAATAGAAAGGAAAGAAGGAAGGAAGGAGAGAAAGGGAGAGAAAGAAAGAAAGAAAGAAAGAAAGGAAGAAAGGAAAGGATATAGGAAGGAAGGAGAGAAAGGAAGGAAGGATATAGGAAGGAAGAGAAAGGGAGAGGAAGGATGAAGGAAGGAAGGAAACAGGAAGAAAAGAAGGAAGGAAGGAAATAGAAAGAAAAGGAAGGGGAGGAAGGAAGGAAGAAGGAAGAAGGAAATAGAAAGAAAGAAAGGAAGGAAGGAAGGAAATAGAAAGAAAGGGAGGAAGGAGAGAAAGGAAGAAGAGAAAGGAAGGAAGGAAGGAAGGAAGGAAGGAAGGAAGGAAGGAAGGAAGGAAGGATGGATGGATATAGGAAGGAAGGAAGGAAGGAAGGGATCCAGGAGGCCTGGGGCCAGGAAGGAGGACAGGAGGGGGGTCAGGAGCCAAATTCCACCCCCTGCAAATGTTCCCGTAGAGAATTTGGCAGCCAGATCTCCGGGAAGGAAGCCTAAACCCCACAGGAGACACCAGAGGAGAAAAACCACAAAGCTGCAGCAAAACTTCAACCCTGCTGCCCCTGGGGGACCCATCTCAGCCAGCGCTTTCCCCACTTGGCGAACCCCTGGGGGCTCCCCCCTCCCCGTGCCAAGAGGGGCCGGGCAGGACGGGGTGGGGGGAAGAAGAAAGGCAGCATTGCCAACCGACCTTTGCAGTTCAGCCCAGGAAATGGTCATCTGAGAGTCAGCGCAGCGGAGAAACAGATCCAAAAAATCCAGTTTTTTCACTCCTAAATTCCGCTGGCAGCGCATCCCCCACTCTCTGCGCCCCCCCCCCCATTTTTGGATGTATTTATTATTTTTTGCCAGAATCCTTTTCTGACCAAGCTGGAATTTAAATACGGCGATTGATGCTTTTCCATTTAAAGCTTATTTATTTGGGCCCGGGAAGACACCAGTGTGCGGTCTCAGAAAGCCCCCAGCCCAATTGAGCACCCCCCCCACGGGGGTCCTCACAAACCCCACCCCCCCAGCCTTTGGAGAGCAGCGTGGAGAGAAAAAGTCTTTAAAAAAAAAACCAAATATGTAAATAAGATCTCCTTCCTCCAGCTCCAGATGATCCTGCTGGGGTGATCTTTGGGGAATCCTTTGGGGAGGGGGCTGGGGGGTTGCCCCCCCCCGCTTTGCAGCTGTTGCAAACACACACACACACACAACCCCGCCCGGCCTCTCCCAGACATGGTTTCGGCTTTCCTTCTTTTGATAGCAAGATGAGGTTTTTTGGGGGGGGGAGCGAACATCCTCCTCCTGCAGTTGCCACGGCAACTGCATCAGCAGCAATTAGGCTGTCCTGGTTTTTGGGAGAAGAGGACGGGAGGGGGGGAAACTGGGAAGGCTGAGGCTGAGGAGGGAGCTTGCAAGAAAGGGGGGGGCGTGCTGCAGCTGGCGGACAGGGCCGCCCCCCCCCCCGGAAATGCTTCATGGCTTGCAATGGCCTTGCCGTCCCCTGAAACAGCAGTGTTGCCAGATAGCAGCATACACACACACACACACACACACACACACACACACACACACACACCATCCGCACCCATCCTTCATTGGGGGAGTTTTCAGCCTCTCCCCCACCCGCTTCCCAGCCCTGCATGCAAATGGTCCTCCTCTTATGACCGAAACTGGGGGACTGGAATTCCCATGGCTAAGTGAGGTGGCGCTCCAGGGATCCTTATCCCCTTTTCCGCCACGGTTTCTGAAGCAAATCTCTGCAGCTCTTAAGCAAATCCAGAATTCCCACCCACCCCCCACCCCCATTGACTTTGCCGGCTGAGAAGGTCGCAGAGGGCAAGGCCATCCCATGGACCCCGGGATGCTGCAGCCATCGTAAAGAGAGGACGGTTTGCCAGATTTTGATCATGTGACCGTGCGGTTGCAAAAGGGAGAACTGGGCATCAGTCCTTTTTCAGTGCTGTTGCAACTTCGAACGGTCATTAAATAAATGGCCGTAAGTCAAGGACTGGCTGTACTCCAAGGATTAATGGACTGTCCCACTGGGAGATGGCGGGCAGTGTCGTATTCAGCTTTGGAGGGCAATAAGCCTTCCTCTGTATTTTTAAGGAGAGGAGAGACCTGCAGAATCTGTTGCTTCTCTCGTTAACTATTATTTCAGTTATTTCAATATATGAATAGATTCCTCCAATCTCTTAAAACATCTCAGCTGCAACTCAGTCGATCCTCAGTAGTTTTCCTGGCATCCCGGTGTGCGTCCTTGTGTGAACTTGTCTGCAGAGGTTGTGGGGGCTCCATCCCTGGAGGTTTTTAAGAAGAGACTGGGCAGCCATTTGCCTGAAATGGTCTAGGGTCTCCCGCTTGAGCAGGGGGTTGGACTAGATGACCTCAAGGTCACTTCCAACTCTGTTGTTCTGTTATTGCGACTCCTCGCCATCTTAGCCTGTTACTCTGTTTTGCAGGGGGTCCACACAGAGCTGTCATGAGACCGCTGTCGTGCCATTTTTTTTTTAAGGGCTGTATTTATACCCAGACATAGGCAGACACATTAGTGGCATTAGTGTTTCTGGGGGGGGGGGGGTGTCAATCTTGGTTCAAAAGAAGACACAGAGGCATAGAATCAAAATCACGTGAAGTATTTGTACCGCTTTGTAAAGCCTTAGTAAGGCCACACCTGGAATACAGCATCTGGTTTTGGTGAGCATGCTACACAAGAGAGGTTGAGACTTCGAAAAAGTGCAGAGAAGAGCAACTAAGATGATTAAAGGCCTGGAGACCAAAACATATGAAGAACGGTTGCAGGATTTGGGTATGGCCAATGTAGAGAAAAGAAGGGGGACATGATAGCAGTGTTCCAGTATGCCACAAAGAAGAGGGAGTCAAGCTATTCTCCAAAGCACCTGAAGGCAAGACAAGAAACAATGGATGGAAACTATCAAAGAGAGAAGCAACCTGGAATGAAGGAGAAAATTCCTGACAGTGAGAACAATTAACCAGTGGAACAACCTGCCTCCAGAAGTTGTGAGTGCTCCATCACTGGAGGTTTTTAAGAAAAGACTGGACAGCCATGGGATAGGACAGTGATGGCGAACCTTTTAGAGACCGAGTGCCCAAACTGCAACCCCAAACCCACTTATGCATCGTCGGGTGCCGGGCGGGTGTGGCCCATTGGGTGGGCATGGCTGCGGTGGTAGCGGCAGACTGGGTGGGACTAAAAAGTTCAATCAATCGCTTCCAACTTTGCAAGATCTTTTTTTTTCCCACGAGAAGTTGAAATTGACTGACTGATTGAACCTTTTTTTTTTTGTACACGGCGGTGGAGGCCTAAAGCGAAAAGGTTTTACAAAACCCAGCTGAAGGCCTAGGACTGGGGCGATGGCGCTCGTGCCCACACAGAGAGGGCTCTGAGTGCCTCCTCTGGCACCCGTGCCATAGGTTCGCCACCACTGATATATAGGGTCTGCTACTCGAGCAGGGGGCTGGACTAGAGGATCTCCGAGGTCCCTTCCAGCTCTATTCTATTCTTATTCTTTGCAACATTTTTGCAAGCCGTTTTGCAAGACTTGGATGGGCCTCCCCAGGACAGCATTTTCAATACACACACACACACACACACACACACACACACACACACACACACAAACAGCGTGTTGTTTTGACAAGTGCCATTATGGAGCAATCTTCAATCTGTCTGCTTGTCACACCTTCGCCGCTTCCCTTTTCGGCAGGCAGCCCATTTATCACCACTTTCATTTTATTCTTACTCATCTTTGTAATTAGCCCAAACCCCGTTTTTTGCTACTTTTTGAGTACCTTACAATATTTACCCGACGTTGCAGCCACGAACAGGCTCCATAGCCCTCGTCCAAGTGAACGGTGCAGCCAGCCATTGTCATTTTAATCCACGGGAGTTTTTATTTTTAATCTCCTCTATAATGTGCTTTGACATAACCCTCTTTTACATGCCTTTGGGAGTAATCGGGCCGAGGCGCTTAAATAAATAAGTACTTTGGCGCAAAAGTGGGTAATTGGGTTGTTTAAAAAAAACAAACAAATTTTAAATTGGGTTTTAAAAATGGGAGTGTGAATGAGAGCTTCCCCTAGAGCTGCATCCGATTCACTAAAATAGGTGAACAGAACACCTGGCCCTCCCTTCAAATGGATCCAGGGCAAAAACCTTGAGTTTGCAATTCCACCAGGCTGGGTTTTTGCTAGCAGCAGGTGTGTGTGTTGGGGGGGGGGAACCCTCATGAGATCTCCCTCCTTAGAATCGCAACCCTGAAAAGGCTCAGATAGATGGTTGCATTCGATCCCCTGCCTTGCTCCAATATCTAAATTCTCTTTGCAAGATATTTTTCTAGAGAAAAGAAGAAACAGGGGAGACATGATAGCAGTGTTCCAGTATTTGAGGGGCTGCCACAAAGAAGAGGGGGGTCAAACTATTCTCCAAAGCACCAGTGGATGGAAACTAATCAAGGATTTAAGGAGAAACTTCCTAACAATGAGGACAATTAACCAGTGGAAGAACTTGCCTTCAGAGGTTGTGGGTGTGCCATCACTGGAGGTTTTTAAGAAAGGACTAAAACAGTCACTTATCTGAAATGGTATAGGTTCTCCTGCTTGAGCAGGGGGTTGGACTAGAAGACCTCTGAGGTCCCTTCCAGCTCTATTCTATTCAATTCTATTCTATTCCATTCCATTCCATATTCCTATTCTATTCCATTCCATTCCATTCCATTCTATATTCATGTTCTATTCTATTCTATTCTATTCTATTCCATTCCATTGCTTTGCATTCCATTCCATTCTATATTCCTATTCTATTCTATTCTTCATTCCATTATTCTATTCTATTCTATTCTTCATTCCATTATTCTATTCTATTCTGTATTCCTATTCTATTCTGTAATTCTATTCTAATACTAATACTAGTACTAATTCTATACTAATACTAATTCTACACTAATACTAATATTAATACTATATTATATTCCAGTCCTCTGTTGTGGTCGTACGTTGAGAACTACCTGTATCTTGTAGGGTGAACCCAGCTATCTTTGGCCTTTAAATCTTGCTTTGGCTTTCCAAAAAAAACATGTTTTGGAACCAGCCTAGGAGCTCCGCCAGATCTGCTGAGCTGCATTTTTTTCCTCTGTGGTTTCCAATCTATTATTAATTAATTTGATTAGATGTATATGACGGCCGTCACCCTGATCAAGGGTCTCTGGGCATCTTACAAACAGAAGAACAATTTAAAATTTAAAATTACAGGCAGTCCTCAAGTTAAAGCACCACAACTGAGCCCAAAATTTATGTTGCTAAGGGAAACATTTGCAATGCCAGGTCTGGAATACTACTAGCAATAGCAATAGAACTTATATACCACTCCACAGTGTTTTTCAGGCCTTTCTAGGTGGTTTACAGAGTCAGCATCTTCTCCCCCCCCCCAACAATCCGGGTCCTCATTTTACTGACCTCAGAAGGACAGAAGGCTGAGTCAACCTTGAGCTGGTCAGCATCAAACTCCTGACTGTGGGCAGAGTTAGCCTGCAATACTGCATTCTAACCACTATAAAAGAAGGAAGGAAGGAAGGAAGATAGCACTAGCACTTATATACTGTTTCACAGTGTTTTTCAAGCCTTTCTAAGCAGTTTACAGAGTCAGCATCTTCTCTCCCCCCCCCCCCCCAACAATCCGGGTCCACATTTTACTGACCTCAGAAGGACAGAAGGCTGAGTCAACCTTGAGCCGGTCAGGATCAAACTCCTGACTGTGGGCAGAGTTAGCCTGCAATACTGCATTCTAACCACTATAAAGGAAGGAAGGAAGGAAGGAAGGAAGGAAATAAAGATGGAGGGAGGAAGGAGAGAAATGAGGGAGGGAGGGAGGAAGGAAAGAAGGAAGAAGAGAAAGGAGGAAGAAAGGAAGGAAGGAAATAAAGGGAGGGAGGGATGGAGGGAGGAAGGAAGGAGAGAAATGAAGGAAGGGAGGGAGGGAGGGAGGGAGAGAGAGAGATAGGGAAAGATGACATAAAATTGCTCCTGAGTCTGGTTGATTTTTAGCTGAGACAGATTAAGGCCATTCTCTTCCGATTGTGTCAGCTTATCTAGAGGGCTCCAGATTGACAAAATCTGAATTAAATCAGGACATACACCCACACATAGCACTAGCACTTAGACTTATATACTGCTTCACAGTGCTTTACAGGCCTTTCTAAGTGGTCACCTGATCAAAATTTGGACTCTTGACAACTGACATGTACTTACGACGGTTGCAGTGTCCCGGGGGGGGGGTCACGTGATCCCCTCTTGCGACCTTCCGACAAGCAAAGTCAATGGGGGAGCCAGTTTCACTTAACAACCGGGTGACTGATTTTAACAAGCGTACTGAACAACTATGACAAGCAAGGTCATAAAGTGGGGGGGACTCACTTAACCAGTATCTCACTTAGCAACAGAGAGTTCGGGCTCAATTGTGGCCGGATGTCGAGGACTTCCCCGTAAGCCCAAAATAAAGCTGCAGACTGGGAGGTTAGTGTGGTCTTGGTTGGGTCTGATCAGATTCCTGTTTCTTCTTTCCGGAAAATATTCTGTTAGAAGCACCTTCCACGGATTCAGGCCCTCCCAGAATCTCAGCCTCTTTTTTTTTAATCATGTGACCACAATACTGTGTCTAATTCTGGTCAACATTATTAAGAAAAAGGGACCCGAGAAAAAGTGCAGTGAAGAGCAACAAAGATGCTTAGGGGCCTGGAGCCTAAAACATGAATAGTTAAGGGAACTAGGTACGTCTAGATTATCAAAGAGAAAGATTGGGACCCCGGGAGCACATGATAACTGTCTTTGAGTACTTGAGGGTCTACCACAGAGAGCAGGGTCTGCCACAGTCAACCTATTCTAAACTTGAATTGGAATAGAATAGAATAGAATTAGAATTAGAATATAGAACAGAATACAATATAGAATAGAATATAGAACAGAAAGAATAGAATAGAACAGAATAGAATAGAACAGAACAGAATTAGAATAGTAGAAGAGAATAAAACAGAATAGAATAGAAAGAATAGAATAGAATAGAATATAGAATAGAATGAAGTGAATAGAATAAAATAAAATAGAATAGAGAATAGAAAATAGAATAGAATAGAAGAATAGAACAGAATTAGAAGAGTAAAAGAATAAGAACAGAATAGAATAGAAAGAATAGAATATAGAATAGAATAGAATAGAATGAAGTGAATAGAATAAAATAGAATAGAAAATAGAAGAACAGAATAAGAATAGAACAGAATTAGAAGTGTAAAAGAATAAGAACAGAACAGAATAGAATAGAAAGAATAGAATAGAATAGAATGAAGTGAATAGAATAAAATAGAATAGAAAATAGAACAGAATAAGAATAGAACAGAACAGAATAGAACAGAATTAGAAGAGTAAAAGAATAAGAACAGAACAGAATAGAATAGAAAGAATAGAATATAGAATAGAATAGAATGAAGTGAATAGAATAAAATAGAATAGAAAATAGAATAGAACAGAATAAGAATAGAACAGAACAGAATAGAATAGACTATCAGAGTTAAAAGGGATCTTGGAAGTCTTCTAGTCCAGCGGCCCCCAACCTTTTGGGCACCAGGGACCGGTTCCACAAAGAGAGACTTTTCCGCAGACCGGGGAGTGGGGGGGGGGGTTTCGTGTGCTGCCTGCATCCCGCAGATGGGGCTTTGCTTGTTCGCACGGACCAATTTCTGGCTTGCCAGAGACGGGGGCTTGAGGACCCCTGTACTAGTCCAGCCCCCTGCTCAAGCAGGAGACCCTCTACCATTTCAGACAGGTGACTTTCCTGTCTCTTCTGAAGGCCGAACAAGAAGCAACCGGGGGGGGGGGAGGCTGGTCCGAGGGAGATTCAGCCAAGGGGAATTTCCTGGTAGAACAATTAACCAGTGGAACTGCTTGCCTCCAGGAGTTGGGGGTGCTCCCATCAGCAGAGGTTTTTAAGAAGAGACTGGACAGCCATTCATTCTGCGTTAGGCAGGGGGTCCTTTGGGCTAGTGTCTCATAGCCCGGCCTACCTTACCAAGTTGTTGTGTTGCAGAAAAAAAAACGGTAGCCCTGTGGATCGCCACCCCACCCCCCTTGCTGACCGCCCGCCCTTTCTCTCCCTCTCTGCAGAATTCAGACGACCTGCTGGTGGCTTCGGCCGAGTGTCCCAGCGATGACGAGGACCTGGAGGAGTGTGAGCCGAGTACCGGTGGGTCTTTTTCCAACCTCGCTGCCCCGGGACACCCCCAAGTCAGGAGGGGGAGGGACTGCCCCAGCCTTGCCCAAAGCCCAGGGATGAGTTGGTGGGGTCTCTGTGTGCAGAGACTCAAGCAGGGGACTTTTTTGGGCAAAACCGGGACCCCCAGTAGCAGTTGGGCACCACATCTGCCTCCCTGCATTCTCTTCTCTTCTCCTCTCTTCTCCTCTCCTCTCCTCCTCTCCTGTCCTGTCCTCTCCTCTCTTCTTCCCTTCTCTTCTCCCCTCTCCTCTCCTCTTCCCTTCCCTTCCCTTCTCTTCTTCTCCCCTCTCCTCCCCTCTCCTCTTCTCCTCTCTTCTCTTCTCTTCTCCTCTCTTCTCTTCTCTTCTCCTCTCCTCTCCCCTCTCTTCTCCTCTCCTCCTCTCCTGTCCTGTCCTCTCCTCTCTTCTTCCCTTCCCTTCTCTTCTCTTCTTCTCCCCTCTCTTCTCCTCTCTTCTCTTCTCCTCTCTTCTCTTCTCCTCTCCTCTCTTCTCCTCTCTTCTCTTCTCCTCTCCTCTCTTCTCCTCTCTTCTCTTCTCCTCTCTTCTCCTCTCCTCTCTTCTCCTCTCTTCTCTTCTCCTCTCCTCTCTTCTCCTCTCTTCTCTTCTCCTCTCTTCTTCTCTCCTCTCTTCTCCTCTCTTCTCTTCTCCTCTCTTCTCTTTTCCTCTCCTCTCTTCTCCTCTCTTCTCTTCTCCTCTCTTCTCTTCTCCTCTCTTCTCCTCTCTTCTCTTCTCCTCTCTTCTCTTCTCCTCTCCTCTCCTCACTTCTTCCTTTCTCTTTCTCCTCTCCTCTCCTTTTATCCCCTTTCCCTTCCCCTCTCTCCTCCTCCCTTCTCTTTCTCCTCTCCTCTCCTCTCCTTTTATCACCTCTCCTCTCCTCCTATTCCTTTCCCTTCCCCTCTCCTCTCCTTTCCTCTCCTTCTATCCCCTTTCCCTCTCTCCTCTCCTCTCTTCCTTCTCTCCTGTCTTCTTCCCTTCTCTTTCTCCTCTCCTCTCCTTTTATACCCTTTCCCTTCCGCTCTCTCCTCTCCTCCCCTCTCCTCCTCTCCTTCAAACCTCCTGCCCTTCCCCTCTCCTTCTATTCCCTTTCCCTCCCCCCCTCTCCTCTCCTCTCTTCTCCTCTTCCCTCTTTACACACACAAAGATTCACCTATGTGCACAACAAGGTGCTCTTCTGCCTGCTGCAGTTACATCACTGACACACAGAACCCAGGGTCCCGTCCATCGGCGGCGGTCTCTCTTTTTAAAAATCAAACTTCTAGTCCTTAGCCTTCAAGTTCTACTGAAAAGCGGAAAGGCGGGCGAAAGCACCCAGTTCGCGGGACCCGTGTTAATAGTATTCTGCTTTTTAAAAAAATCGTTTTCCCAAGGTTGACAATAAGTACAATAATAATGATGTTGCAACAGTAGCAAAAAAAAAACCAAAAAACTAGATGGCTCCATCAATATTTAAAGATCAAAGAAGGCAGAAAACTTCAAAAGCAAAAGCATTAAAAGACACAATGATATATATATTTTTTTTTTGTAAAAGACGCCGGCCTTACCTTTGAAATATAAAAGATCAAGCAGGAAAGATCTTGTGGAATAAAAGCATCCTCCAACTCCACCTAAAAATAGAGTAGAATGGAAGCTGTTGGACATTTCTACAGTGATAGAAACATAAAATGCAAGGCTTGAAAGGAAACCTGGAGGCCATCCAGTCCACCTCCCACTCCAGTGTCAGGAGTTGAGTCACCGATTTGAGATGGATAGCTGTATAAAGTGAATAAATAAATAAATAACTACTCTCTAACAAGGCTTTCTCATGCTTTAAAAAATGTGAACATGGATACACTTATTATCACCACCATTCTAGCATAGGTCAGGGGTCTTCAAAGCTGGCCCTTTTATGACTCGTGGACTTCAACTCCCAGAATTCCTGAGCCAGCATGGGGGAACTATGGCCCCTTCATGACTTATGGACTTCAACTCCCAGAATTCCTCAGCCAGCCTGGGGGAACTATGGCCCCTTTGTGACTTATGGACTTCAACTCCCAGAATTTCTCAGCCAGCATAGCTCAGCTTGGAAACTTCTCCCTTTCCCCTCAGCGTGGCTGGCTCAGGAATTCTGGGAGTTGAAGTCCACGAGTCATAAAAGAGCCAAGGTGGCCTACCCATGACCTAGTCCTAGACCATCTCAGACAAGAGACTGCCCAGCCTCTTCTTAAAAATCTCCAATGATGGAGCGTCTACGATTTCTGGAGGCAATTAGTCTTTTAAACTGGGCCTCTAATTCACACAACCCATTTTCCAAAATGGAGGGCAGTCACGAGATTTGCATGTCACCGAACCTAGGCCTCCCATTCATCTCTTTCCTGGTTTCACCCAATCCAGGTTGGGTTTGTGACACTCGGTTAAAAAAAAAAAAAAACACCCTCCAAAACAACCCTCTTTTAACCCTACCCCAACAGCTAGGCTTGTTAATTGTCCTCGTAAAATGAGTTGTGAGAACCCAGCTAATCAGAAAAAACAGCTGCAATCAAGTGATAATTCCAGGTGGACTTTCCTTCTAAAGTCTCAGTTCTTGCTTGTTAAACAGCAAATGAGGTTTTCTGCAGCATTCCCCCAGGCACGCGGGAGATTGAGATGGTAGGAATCTGCAAATGGGTGACATTTAATTGGGGTGAAAAGCAGGCTTGTTCATCATAGCAGGCGGACGAGTGAGCCACCGTTCACTTACTCTCCAGCTGCCCTTGTGTGTTGCCACCCAGTCTGACACACCTTTCCCTGCCTGCCATCCGAGCCCAGCCCAGTTTGACTCTGCAGCTGGAGGCTTCCTTAATGAACTCACTGCCTAACCGCGGGGAATAGCTTGCTGGGGGGGGGGTGTGCAAGGCACGCACACGTGTGTGGGGACTGTTTGCCCTGCACCGCCCGGCAAGTAGATAGGGAGAACGCACCTTTCTGGAGCCGATGGGAATTGTTCTCTAACCTATAGGGAAGCGCTGGTGTCACCTGTCTTCCTGCATTTCTCCCCTGGAGAGATCCTGTCAACATCCAGCTCGAGAATCCAAATAAAACTCCAGGCTCATTCCATCTTGGAAAATCTTACAGTTTATTAAATACACTGCATGATGATATTGAAGCAAAAACTAACTCTGAGGTTCCACCAATTCATAGACTTCAACAATAACTTTCCCAGCCAAAGCCCCAACATCTTACGTAGTCTATATAAACGAGTTCACTTTGTTATGGGAACCGTCTGCTTCAAATCCACACCTGTTATGGTGTCCTTGAAAAGCTTTCAGGCTCTCATGGTCTTCAGCAGAATCGTAGGAGTTTCGTTTCTCCATCTAACCCAGAGGAGCCCAACCTATGGGCTGTGTGTGTGGCTGGCCAGTGCGCGCACTCCCCTTGCACTGGCACTGCTGTAGCTGAGCCCTGAGCCATGTGCCAGTGCTAGCAGCCCCATTTGTGGATCATGCATGCTCGCGGCGCACAGCCACATTAGTTTTCTCTGCACATGCACGCATAAAGGTTCCTGCCCCTCCCTTCCCCACCAAGACACCTGATCTAACCCACTCGGAAGCAACACTCCCCCCCCCTTACTCTAAAGGCAAGTTGAAACGCAGAGGCACGGAGCCGCCAAAGTTTCATCCTTGACAAATCCCAGATGATGGGTCCTTGGTGCTCTCCAAGCTTGCTTGTTTTCTTGCAGATATTTCATTAGCCAACTAGGTAACCTCATCAGTGCTAGTAAGGAGTGCAGTTTGCTGTCATTTGTCTCACGGACATCGCAAACCAGTAGAATGTAAACTGACAGCACACTACACTCCTAGCACTGATGATGCTACCTAGTTGGGTCACGAAATGTCTGCAAGAAAACAAGACAGCTCAGAGAGCACCAAGGACCCCTCATGTCAATCCTGAGTTGCAAATATTCTCCTTTATTAGATCCTTGAACCCTAGGGCTGGAAGGGGCCTTGGAGGTCTTCTAGATCAACCCCCTTCTGCCCATGGCAGAAGTCATTATTCTATCCCGGACGAATGAATTCCTGCCCAAATTTTGGGAAGACAGCAATTACATCCTCTTGACCCCAAACCTCTGGCGTCTTTACATATCCTCCCTATTGAAAATGAATCTACAGTATTCTAGTTCACCTTTGAAACTACTTAAAAAGCACAAAAGAGGATTGCTTCACGCCTAAAAGAGTTGTGCAGCATCTTTGGGAAAGTATATCAGTCAGAATATTAACTGTGATTGCTTCCCCGGAGGGGATGGTCCGTTGTTTCTTTAATTAACATCAATTCAGGTTATTGTGGGCAAATAATAATAATAATAATAATAATAATAATAATAATAATAATAATAATAATAATAATAATAATAAAGTTGGAAGGGACTTTGGAGGTCATCTAGTCCAACCCCCTGCTCAGGCAGGAAACCCTACACCATTTCGGACCAATGGCTGTCCAGTCTCTTCTTAAAAACTTCCAGTGTTGGAGCATTTACTGCTTCTGGAGGCAGGCTGTTCCACTGATTAATTGTTCTCACTGTCAGGAAGTTTCTCCTTAGTTCTAGTTGCTTCTCTCCTTGATTAGTTTCCACCCGTTGCTTCTTGTCCTGCCTTCAGGTGCTTTGGAAAATAGCTTAATTCCCTCTTCTTTATGGCAGCCCCTGAGATATTGGAATACTGCTATCATGTCCCCCCTTGTCCTTCTCTTCGTTAAACTAGACATACCCAATTCTAGCAACCGTTCCTTATATGTTTTAGCCTCCAGTCCCCTAATCATCTTTGTTGCTCTAAAACAAGCCATTGCATCAAATATTGTAGGGGGGGAAATCCCTAAAAACCAATTGAAATATGATTTGTGAAACGCATACAAAAACTCTAAAACGCTACCTTAAAAATAGAATCGTAGGAGAGAAAAAAAAAACCAAGCAGCTGAAGAATTAACATTTGGCCCATATCCACTAATATTCAAATTTAGATCAAAGGAAGGTTAGCAAAAACAGAGTTGATGCTTTATCCATGTGAGTTGCATCTTGAGTTATCCTATGTCAGTTTGTTCAGCCTCGTTTCTGTTTGTTCGGAGTGCCACCCATACAAGCATTGTAGCCAGCGCGGTTTTCATCCGCACAACTTCCACAATCTGCTCAGGTTCCTGAAGTTTAATCAATCCAGCCCATTTGATTAGCTTCTGCTTTAAGCTAAAATGGGTTAATTCCATTTAACCTTTTAACTTAATCGACCTAGCAAATGGTGCTGTGCAAACTCAGTGAAGGAATAAAATTATGCATAATTATAATCTGTTTCAAAACCTGTTTAAATGTCCTGCCAGATTTAGGCCAGCTGGCCTTGTCAAAATATGCTGCCGTGGTTTTACCGTTTCGGGGTTAAGATGCAGCCCAAAACGGTGTCATGTTGTGCTGCTCTGAATTTTGTAGCCTGGATTTTAGGAACACAAAAGGGGTTCAGACACAGCCCGTTATTTCCCTTCTTGCTCTCTATGAAAATCCTGTTTTTTTTCCCCCCGCTTGGAAATGCTCGGTGTGTTACATGCAAAGGCTTCCGAGCATTGTGTACCTGTGACACACCCATGATGGAGATAAAAACACAGTTTATTTTAGCACAAAATAAACCGATGTGTGGAAATGCTCTTGCAATAACCAGATTTATCTTGGGTTGGGCACAATTGTGCCGTTCCTAAGAGATCTTCAATCTAGCTTTCTCTCTGCAACGGGGCAGCCAGGGGTCTTCAAACTTGGCCTTTTTATGACTTGTGGACTTCAACTCCCAGAATTCCACAGCTTTCAATTCTGGGACTTCAATTCTGGGAGTTGAAGTCCACAAGTCATAAAAAGGCCAAGTTTGAAGACCCCTGGCTGCCCCGTTGCAGAGAGAAAGCTAGATTGAAGATCTCTTAGGAACGGCACAATTGTGCCCAACCCAAGATAAATCTGGTTATTGCAAGAGCATTTCCACACATCGGTTTATCCACTGATCGATTGTTCTCCCTGTCAGGAAGTTTCTCCTTAGTTCTAGGTTGCTTCTCTCCTTGATTAGTTTCCATCCTTTGTTTCTTGTCCTGCCTTCTGGTGCTTTGGAAAATAGGTTGACCCCCCTCTTCTCTGTGGCAGCCCCTCAAATATTGGAAGACTGGTATCATGTCACCCCTAGTCTTTCTCTTTGTTAGACTAGACATACCCAATTCCTGCAACCGTTCTTTGTATGTTTTAGCCTCCAGCCCCCTGATCAGCTTAGTTGCTCTTCTCTGCACTCTTTCCAGAGTCTCAACATCTTTTTTACAATGGCCAGATAAATCTGGATGCATCCAGTAAAACTTATTTATTGGACTTCCCTTTCTAATGATGTTGAAATATGCTGAATTATCAACAAAGTGACCTTAAATCTCACTCCTGTTTCTTCACAACCTGCCGTTCCATGGCCTAACTTTTTAAGAAGGGTTTCCCCCCGTTTTCATATTAAAAAGGAGGGGCGTTCTTAATAATAATAATAATAATAATAATAATAATAATAATAATAAAAATTAAACTGCTCTGGGACTTCAGAATTCAAACAGACAAGCATCTGCAACATAACACCCCAGACTTAACAATTGTCGATAAGAAAGACAAAAAAGTCTGGATAGTGGACGTGGCAGTGCCTGGAGATAGCAGAATAGAAGAGAAAGAACTGGAGAAGATAACAAAATACAAAGACCTAGAAATAGAAATAGAAAGACTGTGGCAAAAGCAAGCAAGGGTAGTAGTACCAATAGTCATAGGCGCCTTAGGTGCAATCCCAAAACAACTGGAGCACCACTTGAACACCATTGGCATTGACAAATTCGCCATTAATCAATTGCAAAAGGCGGCCTTACTAGGAATTGCTTCCATCCTGCGACGATACCTGTAATACCATCAAACATCCACATCTGCCTATCCCAGGTAAGGACTCGATAGGTAGACAAAATGCCAAATCCAGTCTGAACATCTGGCTGACTGCGATGATCCATAATAAATAATTATAATAATCTGCCTATCCCAGGTCCTGGGTAAGGACTCGATAGGTAGACAAAATGCCAAATCCAGTCTGAACACCTGGCTGACTGTGCGACGATCAACAACAACAACAATAATAATAAGTTGGAAGGGACCTTGAAGGTCATCTAGTCCAACCCCCTGCTGAGGCAGAAATCACTATACCATTTCAGAACAATGGCTGTCCCCCCTCCCTCCCTCCCTCCCCCCCCCTCTCTGTCTCTCTCTCTCTTTTACACACACACATGCACACACACAACACACAGACAAGTTCTTCAAATCCACTTTTCTGCACCTAATTATAGCAACAAGCCTGGATTAAGCCCAGATTCCCTTTTCAAGTTCATTTTGGTTTTGGTTGTTTTTTTTTTTTAACTTGGATTGAGGAGGTGGTTCTTCACTCTGACCTCTTGTCATCTGTTTCCTATCGGGGGGGGGGGGATCCCGTAGGAATGCAGGGAAAACTATGACACCCCTCCTTGGGAGAAAAAAAAAAAAAAAACACCCACACCCCCAATCCCAACCACCCACTTTGAGCTCATTTTGCATCAGGCCAGGAAGGTCAAACCCAGACGGGGAATTTTGGATCCAGGATCAATTTGGAAAAGGGAAAGCTTTGCTGTGCCATCCCAGCCCTGGATGATTCTCTGCAAAGTCCTATTGTTGCCTCAATTTAGAGCTAAAATCCTCAAATTAGCAAAGAGCTAAAAAAAAAAAAGGGGGGGGGTGTTGCACGTCTCTAATGATTTTGGTTTTTGGAACATCAAAGTGGGTGATTGGGATCTGGGGGGCAACAAGGCCTGGGGGGGGGGTCTTTTGGGGGTATGGGAGGAGGGAAGAGGCAAAGGGGGGGTGCCGTTATGAAAAAGCCAAAGCACAGAAATGAATCTCAGAAGAAAGCAAAATTTAAAATAATAATAATAAATAATAACAATAACAAAAAGGCAAGATGCAGAGAGAGAGATGTTGAAAGAAACGAAAAGAAAAAAAAAAGTTGTTTTTTCGTCCAAAAAGCATTCTTACCTAGTTTTCTTTTTTGTAATTTTTTTTCTTCATGCTAATATCACACGGCCTATTTGTTGATGTAAGTTGACTGAATTCCGTGGTTTGCTCTTATTTTTTTTTTAAACAAACAAACAAAAAAAAACAGAAAGGGAAAAAAAAAGAGGAAAAAAAAAAGAGAGAGAGAGAAAGAATATTTTAGTGTTTTAGCCGAAGAGGATGGGAAGAGAAATCAGCCAGAGAGGGTGTGACTTGCTCTTAATCCTGCTGTTTTATCTGTTTTAATCTTTCTTTTTTTCTTTCTTTTTTTTTTTTACGGATTAAATGACTTTTTAAATTATCCTTTGTTTTATTTTTTATTTTTTTCCTTTGATTATGATTTCTCTAGACAAAAAAATAAAAATAAAAAAAATAATAAAAGGGAAGTTGCCAGGGATGGAGTCAGTGGGGTTTGGCTAGCTGTATCTTGTGGTTAGTGCTGTCTTGTATGGAGCTGGGGGGGGGGCCTGGCCACGGGGCTGACCCTCTTCCCCCCCCTCTCTTCTCTCCCCCTTTTCTCTCTGTTCTAGGAGGTGAATTAGTCTTGCCCATAATAACCGAAGACTCGCTAGACACCCCTCCAATCGCCACGCGCTCTCCTTTTATTCCCCTGCCTCCCACCTTTGGCCCCTTCCTAACCGTAATTGAGACCACCAAAGATACAATCTCCCTCCCGGCTCAGCCGAAGCCCCCCTGCCTGGCCGAACAAGACGACAGCGACTGCGAGGAAGGCATCGAGGCCTCGGGGTACGCCTCCGGGGAGGTCTTCGACTCCAGCCTGCCCCCCACCGACGACGAAGACTTTTACACCACCTTCCCCCTGGTCACCGATAGGACCCCGATGGGCCGCCCTGAGGCAGGAGCTGCCAAAAAGCCCCACGGATACCGCCCCAACCTTAGGACAGGATTGCCGGGATCTCCCTCCGGCCCAGACCTCCTCACCTCCTCCTCCACCACCTCTCCCACCCTGCTCCACCGCATCCCCGCCGGCAAAATGAACAACCGGGAGCCCTTCCGGCCCCACCCCGAACACTTCCCCCCTCTGGCCACTTCCTTCGAGCCCGACAAGCTCAACCGGCCCAAGTACCCCGTGATAACCTCTTCCCCCGATTTCCACAATCTGCCCACAGCTAACCCCACCGACCCCGGGGAGAGGGGTCCCCCCGGCGCCGTGGAGGTCATCCGGGAGTCCAGCAGCACCACCGGCATGGTGGTGGGCATCGTGGCGGCCGCCGCCCTTTGCATCCTCATCCTCCTCTACGCCATGTACAAGTACCGCAACCGGGACGAAGGCTCCTACCAGGTGGACCAGAGCCGCAACTACATCAGCAACTCGGCGCAGAGCAACGGCACGGTGGTCAAGGAGAAGCCGGCCGCGGCCCCCAAAACGGCCAGCAAAAGCAAGAAAAACAAAGACAAGGAATATTATGTCTGAGGCCCCCCCCTGTCCTGCCCCCCCCAGATCCCTGCGTGCACCAGAGAGAGACCCACACCCGAAGGCAGCACGCAGTGAGACTATCCAGACATGCATCTCTTTCCCCCCCCCCTCAAAAAAACTTTTCTGGAGAGGAGACCTGCCCCAATTGCCTCTCTGCCTCCTCCTCTTCCAGGGGAGGCAGCCGCTGTTCCAAACGGGCCCCGTGTCGCCCACCCTTTTGGGTTTGCTCATCTTGTTCTCCTTTTGCGCCCTCCCCTCGCAGGAAGACACCCCCCCCAAACAAGCAACAATAGAGAGAAAGACGGTGGAGGCGAGAAGCTTACAGGGCCCCCAATCCCCTCCTTCCACCCTTGACCTCCCAACCCTGTAGGGTCATCGTTGTCGTTCTTCCCCTAGGCAGACTTTAAAGGCAAGTGGAGCCTCCCCCCCCCGTTTGAAGGAGGGGCTGCCACTCGGCCGGAAGAGGGATGGATGGTGCCTGGACCGCACGAGGAGGCTTAAAAAGGGGTGGGGGGCCCAGAAACACATACACACATACACCCAGGTGGGACTACAGCCGGGATGATGCTTAGCCAGCCCCAGGCAGGCAGGCGGGCGGATCGCGGTGCTCCCCCTCGGCAGAGCTTGGGCCCTTGATGGAGGTGGAAGAAATGGGGGTCCCTCCCTCCCTCTGACCACAACCCAACCACCCCCACCTACTCTGAAACAAATCCCCAGCCAGACCCAGGTCCGATGCCCGGACTGGTCAAATGAGAAGGGGGACAGAGACCCCAAATCCACCTCCTTGTCCTCCCTCTTCAAAATGTGCCCTGGTTTAACCCCAGGCCTGGCCTGGCCAGCAGCCCCCCACCCCACCCCACCTTCTTCTCATCCTTTAAGCTTTGATTTCCTGGGAGGGCAGCCGAGAAGTGCCAAGAGAAAGCCAGGCACCAGAGCGATGGCGGCCCAACCTCTCCCTGGGGGACACTCCTGATCCCCCAAAATCAACCGGAGGGTCCCGACTTGTTCCCCAAAAACGGGGCAGTTCCAAATCAGTCTGGTTTTTTTTTTAATATATTAAAAAGGGGGGGGGATTTCTAATAGGTTTGACGCCCATAACTCCATGCCATTGTGAACCACGTCGGGGTGGCGCTGTGTCCCTCGTAGCCGAGCGGGACCGACGTTGCCCCGAGTTTTGTTTTGCGTTCGGAAGGATTTCGACGCCCCGCCGTCATCGGCCATGCCTCCCGCCGTCGTCCTTCCTCCGTCTCCCTTCGGAAACAAGGTGCTATATTGTGTTCCTTTCTTTCCAAACGGTGTTAAAAGAAACGAGAATGTCAGACCCACGAGTCGGTTTTTTTAAAACTTTGTTTTGCTTTTGTGAAAACCGGGGGGGGGAGGAGGGCGGGAAGGGGCAAGGGGCCGGAAGGAGGATGCAAGCGTGCCCGGAGGCCCGGCTTCGAGCCAAGCAGTTCTGCATCGTTGACGCCACGGAGGTTTCCCCAAAGATCGGTGGGGCAGAGGTATGATTTGGGGTAGGGTCCCTCCCCCCCCCCTCGACTGCAGCCAACTTCCTGGTTCTGCCAAAACTAGAGAAACTTGGCAAGGAGCCAGCGCGAAGAGAAAGCCATAGATAACTCTAATCAGAGATCTATCTATAAATACGTCTTTATATATGTACAGAGAGACCTGTGTTTCTGAACTGTAGCCATTTTGAGAGGGGTGGACTTCAACTCCCAGGATTCCCCAGCCAGCGTTGCTGGCTGGGGAATCCTGGGAGTTGAAGTCCACCCCTCTCAAAATGGCTACAGTTCAGAAACATTGATATAGAGTGATAAATAGCTTTATAGAGGTATATGAGATATACAGAGTACAGTATGTATAAGCTATCCAGGGTTTAAACAAAGAGGGGGCTCTTTGGGGAACGGGGGAGCAGAGGAAACGGGATGGGGGGAGAGGACCACAAAGATGGGAAGATGGAAGGAGTCGCCTGGATCTTTGAAAGGGAGGGGGAAGGAGTTGAGTCCTCCCCCCCCCCCGCCAACACTGGTTGGTCTCTCCAGAGGTTAGGATGGGCCAGCTCCACCTTTGGTGCACCGAGCCAAGATTGCTCTGATTTCCCTCCGCCCGACCCAGCTGGCCCTGATCATCAGTGGGCAAACAGTGGGAAAACAAGGCTCGGGTTGTGGGAATCCAACAGGGAAGGAAGAGAGGAGTTTGGGAGGAGGTCCGGGGCTCTTCTTGAGAGGGAACGTGGTCTTGGGGCAAGTAGACGTGGGTCTGTAAAATGCCCTAAAAATTGTAAAATGCCCTAAAAACGGACTAATAGGAAACAGAGATGGGGTGGGGGAATGCAAAATACAAGCCCCCCGCCCCGATTACTATTAGACTCTGCAGACATAAATTGCACCCAGGTGGCATCTGTGTCAAATGGCTCGAAAAATCTCCAAAGTCTTGAATCTCGTTGCCAACAAACATTTTGGGGGATCATGCTTAGTCCACCAACCCCATCTTAAGTCTCGGACTTCTCTAGATTTGGGCAAATGATCCAACAGGACAGCCAATCCTATTTTTTTAGCTCCCCTTTTATGTGAATCAAATCTTTGACAGTTGTCCATCTGGCGATGGATGGATTTCTCGTTGGACTTGCCGTGCGTAAAAAAAAAACCAGCCAGAAACGCAAAAAAAAGAGGTTCACATCCCCCCCCCCCAATGTTATCCCTGCTCCTGTAGCTGCCTGTAGCTATAAGTTGGGCTCAGACAGCGTGTGTGAAGCCGGTAAAGTGAAAAGCAATGTCTCTGTTGTGCTACTTTCACACAACAGTCTTGTCTCGGTCAGATCCAGACCCTGCAGGCTTGATGACTCGCAACCTTGTGCATCTGTTGTTGTTTTTTTGTTTTTGTGGCTTAGCTTGGGCACTGGGTTAGCTTCTAATTCAAGACCAAACCCAGCAAAGGTGTTCATCTAGGATGTTTCTCAATCTTGGCCATTTTGAAGATTACCAGTTAGCCAGTGGAACTACTTGCCTCCAGAAGTTGTGGGTGCTCCATCGCTGGAGATTTTCAAGAAGACATTGGACAGCCGTTTGTCCAAAATGGTATAGGGTCTTCTGGTAAAGCACGAGGTTGGACTAGAAGACCTTCAAGGTCCCTATTTAGTGTTCCGTGTTCTAAGATGTGTCGACTTCAACTCCCAGAATTCCTCAGCCAGCCGTACTGACTGGGGAATTGTGGGAGTTGGAAGTCCACACATTTTCAATTGGCCAAGGTTGAGAAAGCTGATCTAGGAATTAAATTATACTTGTTATTAAAAACACCTCTCCAAAGGTTTGCCGTTTGTCTGTGGTTTCGGTCCTTAGCGTCCCACTGAAAACAACTTTCTGTTTCCCACAAAAATGGAAAGGGTTCTTCAGCAAAGAACATTAAAGCAACAGGATTCACTTTGAACATAATCTGGAAACCGTCTACCCTGCATCATTTTGGGGTGCCTTAAAGTAAGGGATTGAAGACCAGGATAGGCAAAAGGTGTAAAAAAATCCCAGCCTGTGCCAGCCATTTCCCCCCAGCCCTTCTGCCTGCTGAAATGGAAAGCCACCGGGCAATTGCCTCAATTCGTCTGGCGGCGCCAGTTGGAAAAAACTGGATTAAACGGTGAATTGTACTAAAAAGTCCATCTGAGTTAAGATGGAGGTTGGCCATGGCAGTTGATGCGACTTAAAGATGGTTAGTTCAGTTTAAGCTTGTCGGTTTCGCTAAATCAGTGGAAAAAGCAGTTAAATCTGGAGTTCGCCTTACAAGACCGGGGGGGGGGACACCAAAACAGGGAGACAATATTTTGAAATTCTCAGTATTTGCTCCATCTCAGTCTTACTCTGAATTAACATTGCTGAGCGGTTTGAGCTGATGAACATTAAAGCAAGTGTGTTAAAATGGGAGAAACAACTATGGCAACTTTACGGCCTGTGGACTTCGACTCCCAGAATTCCGGAGCTCAGGAATTCTGGGAGTCGAAGTCCACAAGTTGTAAAGTGCCTCAGTTGCGCTCTCTCTCTCTCTCTCTCTCTCTCTCTCACACACACACACACACACACACCCTGTTAAAGCGTGCTCTTGTCAGCGTTTTCTATTTTGAGGGGGAAATGGATAAGTTTAAAAATGGAAGCTGGTTTGAGTTTTTATTTTTTTTTTCCGCCTCTGCCATAAAATCAGATTACAATTGCCTTTTCAGATAGCCAAGGTAATCAAGATCACGAGAAGTATTAGTACCACTTTATAAAGCTTTTAGGAAGAAACTGGACAGCTAATTGTCTAAAATGGCATAGGATCTGTTGTTCGCGCCGGGGGTTGGACTAGAAGATCTCCAAGGTCCCTTCCAGCTCTGATTATTTTACATTCTAAAAATAAATCCAAGCTAGAGGAAATCCTGAGAGGGTGAAACGAGTTATTCCAGGAGGGCAGATAGAGCTCATAGAATAACAGAATTGGAAAGGGCCCTTGGAGGTCCTCTAGTCCAACCCCCTGCTTCATCAGGAGACCCTATACCATTTCAGAAAAGTGGTACTCCAGTCTCCTCTTAAACTCCCGGTGACCTCTTCGCTGAGCTGGAAAAGTCTTTTGTCGTTGCCTTCTAGGGTTGTCTTTTCTCCTTTTCAGTCTAGCTTGGGATTTCCTAGTGGTCTCTCGTCCCAACCCTAGCCAAGTTCTAATGCAGAGAAGGGGGACGTCCTGGAGCAAGTCTAGGCCTTAGCATCGGAGAAGGCCCTTCCTCTCAAGGGGAGATGGTCAGCAGAGAACCCCTTCTCCCCCTCCCCCAAGGCTGCACAGTGTCATCCTTAATGTCCCCTTCCCCACTTTCCAAACTAGCTTAGCCAATGTCCGGGGAACAAAACTGCCTACAACTGGAGATCCCCCCCCACCGCAGAGCCCGAGAAACGAGTGGAGCTGCTAAGAAGGGGAACGTTGGAGGCACGGGGATGTCTCGAACGCTGGAGAAGCGGGGGAAAAAGAGGGGTTTGTCGGACCAGAATTAGAAGCGAGGTCTTGTTCAGGGCATCAAAGATCTGCCATTGAGGAAGAATGCTGTGTAGCCCCCAAAGCTAATTCCGTGCAATGTCAATTGTTGCCCCCATGCAATGAACAAGGGTGTCTGCTTGCCTTCGAGTCAGCACGGAACATACACCTGGGCTGCATCCACACAACCACCTTCAATTAAAGTCCGTGAAAAAGGGGGTTTATGCACACAATGCTAACCTCCTCGGTCTGTTTTAATCCAGCTTCCTTTTTAATCTGACCGCTGGGACTCCACCTGTGTAAACCTAACAAAATCAATTTCCCGAAGCCAGGTAAATATTTTCGGGTTGGCCTTCGGCGGAGAATTTGGGGGAATTGGTGGAAGCGTGCCGTATGAATGCAGCTGATCGGTAGTCCCAGGGCGAGGCGCAGGCCTTTGGCATCGCCCTGATCGGAACAAACCATGGGGCACCCACACCGGGACACTGGGAGGAGGGGAAAAAAAAAACCCATCAGTGCCAACCTCCCTGCCAATGTGTGGCACTACGGCTCCCACGGTCCCCAGCCAGCTTGCGCGAGCATGGGAGTTGCAAGCCGGCACATCCGAAGGCCCAACAGATCAGGGAAGGCCGTTGGGCGACTATCAGCATCCCAACGGTTTTCGATCGGTTTGATGGCTCTCGTAGCTCCCGTTTATGGAAAGAATGATCCAAAGCATCGTTTTTTTACGTTTGTTTCCCCCCCCCTGTCCCCCCCAAAAACAGCCTCAATGATTCATTTTCATCCTTGTGACCTTTCATGTTTCTCCCCCCCCCCCCGCTTTCCAAAAACTTTTATCCGAATTTGTGGCAACAGTCCTCCAGCCCTTTTCTATGTGCACGTAATGAACATTGTTATCAAATGTAAATTGATTTGTACATTATTAATATTTCAGTTTTTTTATCTGGGAAGAAGGTTGAAAAACTCCATGAAAAATAAAAAAAAATAAAATGAAAAAAATAATAATAAAAAAAGAAGATCCTTGAAAACCCTCTTTTCTCTTTTTTAAAGAAAAAGAACAGACTGGGGGGGAAAAAGCTATTAATTTTAACAATGAAAATCCTGTCACTTTTTTTTTCCTCCCCTTCTTTTTTTAAACGACATTCCATTCGGGGTGGAAATCAGATTTAATTTCGTTTCCTTTTTTTTATAACAGATACTTTTTTAAAACGACGACCAGGAAAAAAAACAATATATACCTTTCCCGTTTTAATTTCTTTTTTTCCTGGGGAGGGGTTGGGTGGGAAAAACTGTGATTCTACATATTTACCCTGTAAAATTCCTGTATTCT